GAGCATATGTCAAGATCCACTTAATATACAAGCAACTCAAAAACAACCCATTCTAAACCTGACATAGACCATAATTAGATTAAACCAATAGACACGTTTGCTAAATGGGGTTAATCTAATTATTGGTCCGCGTCAGGTTGAGGGTACTCAGAGCCTCACTGTGCATGAAGGAAAAAATCAACTTAATGAAGGAGCGCCAGGAGGGAGAATACCTGGGCATTACAGTGGAGGCTTTTCATCTGCATTAAGTTTACTATTCCCCTAGTTATGCAGATGAAGAATGGCCATCAATGTCGTTTAGATCTAAGTTTTGCATTATTAGTAACTATACACTTTGAGATATGGATTTGCCTTGGTTTATTTTACATAGACAAGTATATTTTACTTTATTCTCTATTGGTCAAGAGTGCAGCATGCAGTGTCCAAACGGCTGGAGAATAAGCACCATATTTCATATTCTTCCCAATTATGACCGAGGCTACACAAATTACCTGAAAGTTACTTTTTAATGTTCAATCTTAGAATTTCTCTTTTTTCAATTGTTTGTTCATGTGACGGAAACCTTTTCTAAGTAGCACCCACGCTAATTCTTACAGGGAATGGCCAGCTGATATCTTCTTTATTTCATCCTTGACAAACTACAAATTGACAGTCAACAAAGTCGGAAACGGCAGCCAATTGCTAAGACACAAGCAACACTTTCATATCTCATTTGCCTATATTCTGTTATATACTAGTTAAACATTGGCGAGCAACAATAACTTAAACCACATTTGAGCTTGCTTACTTAGTAATCATCCATGTTTAAATTAAACCAATTTCTGTTGTGTAACTTAAACCGAAAATCTCGTGCACTAGTACATCAAATAGTTCCTTTGAGACCAGTTTGCTAAATTTCACACAGAGAACTTGTATATGGAAGTATAAGCCAAAAATTTAAAACTATTTCATATGTACATGAAGCTCAAAGCCAAGTAAGCAACGAAGATCTCATGCAATGTAGCTCTCTAAATTCATTCAACTCCTCCAAAGCAAGAATCATAGTATTCTGCTATCTCAGGATACAACTCTAAAATCTGAATTAAAGAAACACCAGGTCCTACTTAGTGGTTTGTATATAGCAACAAATCTTACTGCAGCCTTAACCGTGTTTTCAACACAACCAATATTACACTACAAATTTGAGTCTGAAGGTTGTTTTACCGGATGCCACTGCAAAATCATAGTCAGTTTACTTGTAAAGGTAGCACTCCTCACGAAGCTTTTTCTCTTCCTCAAGTGTGAAGTCATTCTTAATGTTGAACATGGTGCGAATTACATCAACAGATTTGTCCTCTATCTTACCAGCTATGGTTTTACAGACCAAATCAAACAATCCTTTAATGCTGAGATAATTTGCAGCCTATACAGAGAAGCACAACGTCAGTGGGATGCGGTGCAATAAGTCTTTTAAATGCCAGTAACATATCAACTTTCTCATGCTCAAAGATTGTGAACCTTATGCATGCACATGACAGACTTTGTCACACAAATTATTTGCGCATTTGAGTAGCTATAAAGATGGCTTGGTACATTGGTTAAGATGAAAGACCAGGCAAGGGTTTAATCCGTTGTAAGGCAAACTGCAGTGCACCTTACATCTCTCTTCAGGATATAAACAGATCCAACAGTACTTCAGGTACCAATATAAACTTTCTTTCTTGGCTACTTTAGGTACTGATAATTTATGTTGTTTACCATTAAAAAGATGCACGGAAAAACTTAAAATGGATTCTATATTAAATAGATGAGAGGAAGAAAGGGTCCAGAGGGGGAATCCTTTTTTTATTAGGGGTATAAAACTCTAAAGATTATCACATGATATTCATAGTATGACTTTTAACATACTCTTCAATAATCATGTAATGAAAAGCACTAAGTGCAAACAGTAGGCGAAACTTTGGGTTACCATTTGCGAAAATTTTAAACTTCAGCATAACAAAGTCAAAACTGAGCAAAACTTTAGGGTGTTAAAGTGCAATAAAACCTATGAATTGAGGAAATAAAGTGAACCATGGATAAGAAACAAGAACTGATCAATTGTCCAATAAGTTCTTTGTGACTGTATTAATACAGCATCTTGGATTAAACTTGTAACAAAAATGTACAACTATTCAAGATGTAAAACTCATTTATCTATTTTTTAATTAACAAACACACCACGCATTTTTTGTAATTACCCTTCCTCATGCTTGACTCAGCTTTCATGATCCTTTTACAGTTATGCCTCAGATGCAATTTTTCTTAGAGAAATAGGTGCAATCTTAAGAGCCCATGAACAGATCTAGCGCCACGCAGTTGGTATAGACAATATTTAGATCATACTAAAGTTGTTTTATCAAAAAGTGAAAAGGTCTAAGGCTTATCTTGAGGTTACAGTAACTCCCGATCAAATTTAAACATGTCATTAATAGTAAAAATCTTTCTCCCGATATATATCCTATAAACTTTATATACCAAGAAACGTATTGTTGGTCCACCTCATGTGGCACGTGGGCCAGCAAATAATAGGGTGTCACATGGGCCAGCAGCTAAAGAAGAAGATTGGGCGGACGTTTTGGTTTGTCAAAACATACGGCTCGTCCAGCTTTTCTTTGTCAAACACTTAGGCCAGCAACCAAGAAAAAGTAAAGAGCGCGGTTGTATTTTTTCTTTGAGTAGGACCCATGCTTGCAAAATTGAACGGGATCAGTGGCGAGATTTGAGGAGTTCAGAGGCTGATTTCCTCTATAAATGGCACTCATTCCTTCAGTTTTTCATCATAAAAAATAAAGGAACAACCAAGTGAGAGCCTCAGATACAAAGAGTTTATCTGAGAGAGAAAAACAGAGAGCCTAGTTGTGAAGTTTTATCCACAAATAGAAGTTGTGTTATTAGCCAATTTTGTGAGAGATCCACCTATGGGGGTGAAGTGTGTAATCCCGTTATTATTATAGTGGAAGTTTTTTAAGTGGCCTACGGGTCTCGTAGTTTTTACCTCTTTTGGAGGGTTTTCCACGCTAAAAATCTTTGGTGTTATTTTTGTCTCATTTAGTTGAAAAAATTATCCTGGGATTTCTCAATCTTTCCCAACAAAGTGGTATCAGAGCAAGGCAGGCCTAGGAGGCAAGAGAAGGAGATCATATACGTATTATACCACACTGGTATATACGTATATACGATGACTATTCATACACACGCCACTATTCACGTCGGAGCACTATTTATCGACGGAGCACTAGAACACTATTCATAGTACTATTCACTGATCGGAAAATTTCAAGCTCGGCGAAACCTGTTGACTAGCAATTCAAATGGAGGAGAACACCAACACTGGTAATATGATCAAGCTGACTGTATTTAATTATGCAATTTGGAAGCCGAAGATGGAAGATCTTTCGTACATTAAAGATCTGTGGAAGCCAATTGTAATGTCAAAGAAGAAAGCAGTGACTACAACGGGCGACAAAAGTTGCACCTCGGAGGCCACATTCGATGCTGATTGGGTCGTGCTAAACCAAAAGTGTGCTGCTCAAATCAGACAATGGATCGACAAGAGCATTTTCTAAAATTTTGCTAATGAACACGATGCTCACGTTCTTTGGCAAAAATTAGAGAAAATGTATGGCAAAAATTGAATAAAGCTAATTTGATGTGACGATTAGTCAATTTGAAGTATAAAGACGGGAGCAACGTATCGGAACACATGAGCGAGTTCCAAGGCATCGTAGATCAGCTCAACTCTATGAAAATGACCGCAGACGACGAGTTACAAGCACTATTGATGCTGAGTTCTCTACCAAAAAGTTGGGACACTCTAGTTGTGTCAGTGTTAGTAACTCTGCTCCTGACGGAAAGCTTACCATGGACATGGTAAAAGATAGAATGCTGAACGAAGTGTCTCGACGAAAAGAAAAAGGATATGCTCCTGAAAATGAAGTGCTTGTTACAGAAAGACAAGGCAAGCAAGAATGGAGAGGAAGAAGCAAAAGTAAAATTCTCCGTAACCAAAATCTAAGAGGACGGTCGAAGTCCAGATCGAGGCATGATAAGTAGTGTCATCATTGAGGCAAGCCAGGACACTTCATTCGAGAATGTCAAAAGTTAAAGGCAGAAAAATCCAAAAATCAAGAATCAGAAACCTGAACAAATGAGACTGCAACTGTCACCGAAGAAGTTGTCATTGTTCGAGATGCTGATTATGTCAATCTTGCATGTCAAGACTCCACATGGGTAGTTGACTCAGGTGCTTCCTACCATGTCACCTCACGACGGGATTTCTTCTCAACCTACACTCAAGGTGATTTTGGACAAGTGAGGATGAGAAATGATAATGCATCCAAAATTATCGACGTCGATAAGGTTTATTTAGAAACTAACCTTGGATGTAGGTTACTTTTGAAAGAAGTGAGGCATGTTCCTGATATCCATCTCAATCTGATCTCCACCGGAATGCTTGATGACGATGGCTACGGTAATTATTTTGGTGAAGGAAAATGGAAGCTTACCAAAGACAACTTGGTAGTAGCCAAAGGTAAGAAAGATACAACAATTTACCACACAGAAGCCAGGTTGTGTAGAGAAGAAGTAAATACCACCCGGAAAGAAGTTCCCACCGAGTTATGGCATAAAAGGCTTGACCACATGAGTGAAAAGGGTCTCAGAATTCTTTCTAAGAAGGAGCTCTTATCAAGAATGAAAGGTATACACTTACGTACTTGTGTTGATTGTATTAAGGGAAAACAACACTGAGTTGCATTTCGTAGTTCCCCACCATCTAGGAAGACAAATATTCTAGATTTAATATACACAGATGTCTGCACAATGAGTTATAAGTCACTAGGTAGTGCTCTTTATTTTGTGACATTTATTGATGACCACTCTAAAAAAGTGTGGGCCTTTGCTTTGAAAACTACAGATCAAGTGCAGGAAGTCTTTAAGGAGTTTCATGTAAAAGTTGAAAGAAAAACTGACAGACGTTTGAAGTGTGTACGTGCAGACAATGGTGGTGAGTATTGCGGACCTTTCGAGAAGTACTACAGAAGTTTCGACATCAGGTTGGAAAAATCAGTACCAAAGACACCTCAACACAACGGTGTAGCAGAAAGGATGAACATGACCATTTGCGAAAGAATCAGATATATGCTCTCAAATGCAAAACTACCAAACTCTTTTAGGGAGAAGGCTATGAGGACATCAGTCGATTTAATCAACCTTTCTCCATCAGTTCTACTGAACTACGACGTACCAAAAAAAGTTTGGATGAGGAAAAATGTTTCTTACAAACACCTGAAAGTATTTGGCTGCAGAGCATTTGTTCACACCCCAAAAGACGAGAGGTCCAAGCTGGATGGAAAAGCTAAGTAATGTATTTTTTTTGGAATATCCCCATGAAGAGTTTGGCTACAGACTCTAGGATCCTATTAACAAAAGGACTATCGAAGCAAAGATGTGGTGTTTCTTGAAGATTAGACGATCGAGGATTTTGAGAAACCCGAGAAGCCACAGTCAGATAAAATTCCAGTGAATCTGGAACCAGTATCTCTACCAACAAATTCTAATGATGGGGGAGTCACACCAGATACCGATGATGTTCCACCAGCTCATAATCCAGAACCAGAGCAAGCTCCTGAACAAGTCCAACCAGAAGCACAACTAAGGAGATCCACTAGAGAGCGACAATTAAGTCATAGATATTCTCCTAACGAGTATGTGATGCTCACTGACGGGGGACAATCGGAGAGCTATGGCGAAGCTATCACTGATCAGCACAAGACTGAGTGGTTAAAAGCCATGCAGAAAGAAATAAAATCTCTACATGAGAACCACACATTTGACCTGGTGAAATTACCACAGGAAAGGAAAGCTCTAAAAAACAAGTGGGTGTACAGGATCAAAAGTGAAGAAGGCCGCTCGCAACCATGTTACAAAGCAAGACTGGTTATGAAAGGATTCGAGCAGAAGAAGGGCGTTGACTTTGATGAAATATTCTCTATCAGTGGTCAAAATGTCTTCAATCCGAGTTGTTCTTGGCTTGGCAGCTAGTCTCAATCTAGAGGTTGAACAACTTAATGTAAAAACCGCATTCTTACATAATGATCTTGATGAGGAAATTTACATGGAGTAGCCCGAAGGTTTCCAAGTCAAAGGGAAGGAGAAGATGGTATGCAAACTGAAAAAGAGTTTGTATGGTCTGAAACAGGGACCCAGGCAGTGGTATAAAAAGTTTGACTCATTCATGGAGAAAAATGAGTACAACTGAACGACGGCTGATCACTGCGTCTTCATTAAGGAATTCTCTGATGATGATTTTATCATTCTTTTGCTTTATATTGATGACATGTTAATTGTCGGTTAAAACTTCGGCAAAATTAACAAGTTGAAGAAAGAATTGAGCAAGTCCTTTGCAATGAAGGACTTAGGACCTGCAAAACAAATTCTTAGCATGACGATTACTCGTAACAGACAAATCGAAGAATCTAGCTATCTCAAGAACGGTATGTTGGAAAAATTCTTGAAAGGTTCAATATGAGCAAAGCTAAACCTGTTAGTTCTCCACTGGCAAGCCACTTCAAGATTAATGCGAGTCAGCGTCCTTCAAGTGACGAGGAGAAATCAGAGATGAGCAAGGTACCTTATGCATTAACGGTTGACAGTCTTATGTACGCTATGGTATGCACCAGACCAGACATTGCTCATGCTATAGGCATTGTGAGCCGATTCCTATAAAATCCTGGAAAAGAACATTGGATAGCTGTCAAATGGATACTCAGGTATCTCAAAGGTACTTCTAGTCATTGCTTATGTTTTGGTAATGGTAAACCTGTATTAGAAGGATATACAGATTCAGATATGGCTGACGACGTGGATACGAGAAAGTCTATATCCGGGTACCTAATAACATTTGCAGGGGGAGCTGTCTCATGGCAATCACGATTACAAAAGTGTATTGCCTTAAGCACCACAGAAGCAGAATACATTACAATCACTGAAGGTTGCAAAGAGATCCTGTGGATGAAGAAGTTCCTACAAGAGTTAGGTCAGAATCAGAAAAATTATGTTCTTTATTGCGATAGTCAGAACGCAATTCATCTCAGCAAGAACCCCACCTTCCACTCAAGGTCCAAACACATCGACGTGAGGTATCATTGGATTCGTGATGTGTTGGAAAATAAACTATTGTAAGTTGAGAAGATTAACACCAATGACAACGGAGCAGATATGATGACAAAGACTCTGCCTAGAGAAAAACTTGCTATCTGCAGAGAGATTGCTGGTGTAAAAGACCCATGTCCCACATGAGGTGAAGGGGGAGATTTTTTGGTCCACCTCATGTGGCACGTGGGCCAGCAAATAATAGGGTGTCACATGGGCCAACAACTAAAGAAGAAGATTAGGCGGACGTTTTTGGTTTGTCAAAACATACGACTCGTCCAGCTTCTCTTTGTCAAACACTTGGGCCAGCAACCAAGAAAAAGTAAAGAGGGTGGTTGTATTTTTTCTTTGAGTAGCACTCATGCTTAACAAAATTGAACGGGACCAGTGGCAAGATTTGAGGACTTCAGAGGCTGATTTCCTCTATAAATGGCAGACTCATTCCTTCAGTTTTTCATCATCGAAAATAAAGGAACAACCAAGTGAGAGCCTCAGATACAGAGAGTTTATCTGAGAGAGAAAAACAGAGAGCCTAGTTGTGAAGTTTTATCCACAAATAGAAGTTGTGTTATTAGCCAATTTTGTGAGAGATCCACCTAAGGGGATGAAGTGTGTAATCCCTTTATTATTATAGTGGGAGTTTTTTAAGTGGCCTACGGTCCCGTGGTTTTTTACCTCTTTTGGAAGGTTTTCCACGCTAAAAATCTTTGGTGTTATTTTTGTCTCATTTAGTTGGGAAAATTATTCTGGGATTTCTCAATCTTTCCCAACACGTATAACATAGATACTCTATCTGACCACCACTAACAACAATGTATCTTCTAACAATTCTGTATTTAAAGATGTAAATTGTTTATTATTGATATAAATAAAGACGTAAGACTCGACTATTCCACTAATAATCAATATAATTCTCAAATTCGCATTTTTCCTTGAGGTCCAAGAATTTCCCTCACATTTGTCCAACTTTCAACACATCAAGAATCTAAAACACCGCAAGTTTCCCAATACACGACTCTTTCCACATCCAAATTCAATCAAAACAGAAGAAAGGAAGCTCACCTCGACGAGATGGAGAAGTGTTTCGAAATCGAAGGAGCCGGCAAACTCAGAGTCCCACTCGTCGAGCTCCTCTTTGGTCGAAGGCGCCGAGGGGGAGTGCTTGTTGCAGTACTCTATGATCTTCGTCAGGATCGAGCTCTGCATGTCAGCGAAGATAGGATCGTAACCGTTATCGATCTGGTGGCCGAGGATCACCGACAGCCTGGCCGCCGCCTCCTCCACCTCGAAGAGCTCAGGTCCCTTGTTCCTCAGCACCACCGTCTTCTTCGAGCGTTCCATCGGTTTCGGGCCTCCGGCGTCGCCCCCTCCGTTGACGGCGGCGGATGGCCGCTTTGCAACAGGCAGAATCGAAGAATCTGGCTATCTCAAGAACGATATGTTGGAAAAGTTCTTGAAAAGTTCAACATGAGCAAAGCTAAACCTGTCAGTTCTCCACTGGCAAGCCACTTCAAGCTCAATGCGAGTCAGTGTCCTTCAAGCAAGGAGGAGAAGTCAGAGATGAGCAAAGTGCCTTATGCATCGACGGTTGGCAGTCTTATGTACGCTATGGTATGCACCAGACCAGACATTGCTCATGCCGTAGGCGTTGTGAGCCGATTCCTATCAAATCCTGGAAAAGAACATTGGACAGCTGTCAAATGGATACTCAGGTATCTCAAAGGTACTTCTAGTCATTGTTTATGTTTTGGTAATGGTAAACCTGTATTAGAAGGATATACAGATTCTGATATGGCTGGCGACGTGGATACGAGAAAGTCTATATCCGGGTACCTAATAACATTTGCAGGGGGAGCTGTCTCATGGCAATCACGATTACAAAAGTGTATTGCCTTAAGCACCACAGAAGCAGAATACATTACAATCACTGAAGGTTGCAAAGAGATCCTGTGGATGAAGAAGTTCCTACAAGAGTTAGGTCAGAATCAGAAAAATTATGTTCTTTATTGCGATAGTCAGAACGCAATTCATCTCAGCAAGAACCCCACCTTCCACTCAAGGTCCAAACACATCGACGTGAGGTATCATTGGATTCGTGATGTGTTGGAAAATAAACTATTGTAAGTTGAGAAGATTAACACCAATGACAACGGAGCAGATATGATGACAAAGACTCTGCCTAGAGAAAAACTTGCTATCTGCAGAGAGATTGCTGGTGTAAAAGACCCATGTCCCACATGAGGTGAAGGGGGAGATTTTTTGGTCCACCTCATGTGGCACGTGGGCCAGCAAATAATAGGGTGTCACATGGGCCAACAACTAAAGAAGAAGATTAGGCGGACGTTTTTGGTTTGTCAAAACATACGACTCGTCCAGCTTCTCTTTGTCAAACACTTGGGCCAGCAACCAAGAAAAAGTAAAGAGGGTGGTTGTATTTTTTCTTTGAGTAGCACTCATGCTTAACAAAATTGAACGGGACCAGTGGCAAGATTTGAGGACTTCAGAGGCTGATTTCCTCTATAAATGGCAGACTCATTCCTTCAGTTTTTCATCATCGAAAATAAAGGAACAACCAAGTGAGAGCCTCAGATACAGAGAGTTTATCTGAGAGAGAAAAACAGAGAGCCTAGTTGTGAAGTTTTATCCACAAATAGAAGTTGTGTTATTAGCCAATTTTGTGAGAGATCCACCTAAGGGGATGAAGTGTGTAATCCCGTTATTATTATAGTGGGAGTTTTTTAAGTGGCCTACGGTCCCGTGGTTTTTTACCTCTTTTGGAAGGTTTTCCACGCTAAAAATCTTTGGTGTTATTTTTGTCTCATTTAGTTGGGAAAATTATTCTGGGATTTCTCAATCTTTCCCAACACGTATAACATAGATACTCTATCTGACCACCACTAACAACAATGTATCTTCTAACAATTCTGTATTTAAAGATGTAAATTGTTTATTATTGATATAAATAAAGACGTAAGACTCGACTATTCCACTAATAATCAATATAATTCTCAAATTCGCATTTTTCCTTGAGGTCCAAGAATTTCCCTCACATTTGTCCAACTTTCAACACATCAAGAATCTAAAACACCGCAAGTTTCCCAATACACGACTCTTTCCACATCCAAATTCAATCAAAACAGAAGAAAGGAAGCTCACCTCGACGAGATGGAGAAGTGTTTCGAAATCGAAGGAGCCGGCAAACTCAGAGTCCCACTCGTCGAGCTCCTCTTTGGTCGAAGGCGCCGAGGGGGAGTGCTTGTTGCAGTACTCTATGATCTTCGTCAGGATCGAGCTCTGCATGTCAGCGAAGATAGGATCGTAACCGTTATCGATCTGGTGGCCGAGGATCACCGACAGCCTGGCCGCCGCCTCCTCCACCTCGAAGAGCTCAGGTCCCTTGTGATGGCCGCTTTTCGCGGGAAGGCGCCGGCGATGAGGAAGCCATTTGATTTGACGAGAGCTTGGAACCCTGGGCGGAGTGAAGAGAGCACAGGAAAAGGGCGGGAACTTGGGGGATACTTTCTTGGGGAAAGAAAAAATTGGGGATATTTTATAGAAGTTACGGTCGCTTCTGGAATTCTTGATTAAGTGACGGGTTAGTATTAATTAACTCTGATAATCCGACCCAACTTTACGGCGGATCCATTATAAGGTGCGTCCGATAGCTTACTGGATCGCAAATGAACCGCATATTCATGGACATAGGCCTAATTCAAATGTGATAATTGCACGGTTCCATCTACACTAATATTTTCCTTCTTTTGCTAAAGATGATTGTATAGAACTTTGGTTATGGTACTTAAATACCCCAATCGCTTTCACCACATTTATACTTAAATAACTTAAAGTTGTAAAAAATTAGCTCACGAATATTTTAAGTTGTTCATTGTTAGCATGTGATTGGCACGGTTAAAAAATCCCTTATGACAAAAAAAAACCTCCATTGAAATTAATAAAAAGATATAATAAAAAGATAGAAAGTAAGTATAATGGTAAATATAACAATAAAAATGGGGTCAATACATTAATGAAAGTCATATGTGCTAGTCAAATATGAATATTCTTAGGAATATTTATACATACTAACATGCTTTTTTTTTTTTCTGTCAATACATTGATAGAAAAAGAATGAACTTGCCTAGTGACTAGGATTTTGAATTAGTATGTAGAAATATAGAAGATATATATTGATTACACTGGTGTTAAAGGTGATTAAAGTTATAGGTGAAAAGTTAAAATGTAAAAAGCACTTACCATTAGTTTGTCATGATTTCCAAAATAAATAACTTACAAAGAGACGTCAAGTGCCTGAAATTGAATATTCCTTCATTTCCATGGATCGACCTAAAGGTATTGTTTGTGTCACCACGCATGACCAGGTTTAACTTAGGAAAATGTCATTTGCACAACAGGGGGTGGGACCCACAGACAGATGTGGGTCCCACCCCCCTATTTGTGGCACGCGAGATGGGCTGCGCGCCCATCTTGTGTGCCAAATAACAAGGTTGTTTGACTTTTTACCGCTCTGACGAATCTTACCAGCAGACAAAAGAGACAAAACAAACTATGCTAAATTATCGGACAACTTTTGCGTTTCCCTGCTCCAAAGAAACCATAGAGTGGTAGGACCGTGCGTTTTCTCATCCTTACGTATAGACTGCCTACCAAAGACACACGTGCTTGTGTTAGGAGTTTTCGCATGCAAGCGGCAGCAACAATAAAATAATATACTTAGAGAGTAACATACAGCTTTAAGTTGTTATACTCACATATTAAGCTGTTGTGCTTGCAACCTAAGTTTCTGCTGGCAATCTAATTAAGTTGTCGTACACTAACATACAGAGCAACACATATATACACAGCTTGAAATCAATTATACACGGATCAACATGCAGACTGCTACACTCAACCTGAGCACCCTCATTGCTAAACAGAATTAAGACAAAAAAAAAAAATTAGACATTTATGTGCGCGTGCGAGTGTTTTATGGCTTGCCCGTATGACAAAAACCTATGTTTTTTTTTAATGAGTAACAAAACTCACGTTGGTTATACTTACCTTAAGTTATTGCCTTAATTCTCGAAGCCACCGTACTCAAAGTAATATACTTAAGAGCAACAGACAGCTTAAGTTGCTCTACTAACTGCTTAAATTATTATACCAACTGATTAAGACGCTACACATACTAACTGCTTAAGTTGTTATACTAGCTTGCAATAGGTTGATATATATACCTATTTATGACATCATCAGATAGAAGTTACACAAGTGCAGACAGAAGCATATACATAGAAATATGTTCATGTTTTTGCTGAGCATGTCAGAGCCATTTCAGCTATTCTAAGTCAAACTCACACATTCTATCTAAAAGCCACATATCTGACACAACAATCTCTTTGGTAAGTATGAATTCTGCATAGATATGCACTTTCTTTTCCTTTCATATTAACCGATTATCTGATAAATGTGCAGCATAAACAATGTCAAACCCTTCTCTTGGGCATTTAACAAACATAAGGAGAGTGTACTCCAGACGAACTTGGAAAATAAAAAAAAAATAAAAAAAAACAAGTGGGAAAGAGAGGAAAAGAATGACCCTTTACACAACCTGGGCTTAGATAATTCATGATGATGGTGAGAGCAAGTTGCTCTGATAGGCAGACAAGTTTCGGATTTTTTTTTTCTTATTTTATATTTTTTTCTGTTGTATTAAACAGGAGGGTTGATATGCTGTAGTGGATTTAAAATAAATCATGGGTGTATTTTGACTGCATGTGGACATAAAAAAGTAGCTGGGTTTGAAAATAAATGGGGTTCAAACTTTAGGTTTAAAGGCAAAAAAAAACCAATAATAATCAATTGTTTAAGATGAAATCCTGTACATCATTTTGACTACATTTTCTTTCGTTGAAGGAATGTTGGCTTCAGTTTTTGAGAAATTTTAAAATTAGACCAGATACATAGAAAGTTGAGAAATTGTAAAATGTGGAACTAAATCAAACTTCATATGTCATCTCTGAAACCATCATTCAAACTCCTCTGCAGCAAAACAAAGCCAAAGCAGAGTTGTATTGAAGGAACTGCATCCAGTCCTGCCCCTTTCTTCTTCCTTGCCTCTTTCAAAGTATTTATTTACATAACGCACTCTTAGAAACTACTTGTAGATAACGTTGGAGATTCATGAGCCATCTCCTGAAACAATTTAAACTTTGGGGACATATGTTCTCCATCTCCTGAAACATGCCTAACTGAATAACAATCAACACATGGATCAAAGAACTTTCAAGTTTGTTTTTCACGTATAGATGCCCAAAATGAATGTTATTTTACCATTTTCTCTGGGTCATGCTACCTCATTCCCTGCCTGACAATATGACATACACACGATCAAATCTATCAAAATAGAGAGAGAAAAAGAAGGGAAAAAATCAGAGTAAAATATTTAGAATGGAAAGGAACATTGGCTATATGTCATGCAGGCGCACTAGTTCCTTTGAGATCCAGGTTGCTAAATTTCCCACCAAGAAACTTCAACTTGGGAGTGTAACTATATCACATCCACAAGCAGCTCAAGACCATGCATTCAACAAACTCATCCAATGTAGCTCCCTTAACTCATTTAAATCCTCTAAAGCATAATTCAACAGTATTGTGCAATGTCAAGATACAAAACTCTAAATGCCGAACTCTGGAAACTTCAGAACTCATTTAGTTATGTGAATGTAGTGAAAAATGTTCTCTAGCCTCAACCCAAAAAATGTTGAAGGATATGCAATGTCAGGATACAAGAGACTCAAGAAACTTCAGCACTCACATTTGCATAGACAAGTATATTTTACTTTGTTCTCTATTTTCCAAGAGTGAAGACACCTCTTCGTTCCGTTCTCTACCCTGCACTACCCAAATGGCAATCTGATATCGTATTCTTGTTTCTGATTATGACCAAGGCTAAATAAATCACCCGAAAGCTACTTCTTAGTCTTAAAGCTTACGTCAAACTCTTTTCAGTTATTTATTCATGACAATGAAGCCTTTTCTAAGTAGTACTCAAGCTGACTCTTTGAGGGAATGGCCAGATGATATTTCCTTTCCTGCATCCTGCACAAACTACTGACTGGCAGTCATGAAAATTGGACAATGTAACCAATTACTATGAAATAACCCACAGCGAATAACTCGGATAGTTGGGAGGTTTCAATATGGCACCCACTGTCTTGGGTTCAATTCCAAGTTGGGTTATGAAAAAAAAATTACTAAGAAATAAGAAGCACTTCCATGTCTCTCTATTTTGCTTATCGCCTTATGTACTAGTTAACCATTATCCTGCAATAGTATAGCCCACAATTCTGACTTGTTTATTTGTAGTAACTCACGTATATATGAAAGCTATATCTGTTTTTTGGTAACTGATATACTGGAAATGCTGCGCAGTTGTACATGAAATAGTTCCTTTGTGATCCAGGTTGCTAAATTTCCCACCAACTTCAACATGAGAGTAATGAGCTAAGAATTTAAAACAATAGCTTATATATATGCAGCTCAAAACCATGTATCCAAAAACATCTCATCCAATGAAGCTCTCCTCACCTCATTTAAATCCTCCAAAGCAATATTCAACAGTATTGTGCAATGTCAGGATACAAAACTCTATAATCCGAAATTCAAGAACTTCAAATCTCAATGTCAATGTAGAGAAAAAGGCACCGTAGTCTTAACTCCAAAATGTTACAGTATAGTGCAGTATCAGGATATGAGACTCTAAAACCCAAATTCAAGTAACTTCAGAACTCATTTAGGTTTGTGAAAGTAGCAAAAGAAAATGATACTGTAGTCTTCACCATATTTCCAACCCATAACCACCATCAAAACAAACCAGAACCTGAAGGTTGTTTTACCAGAGACCCGTTGGGAAATCATATTCAGTCTACTTGTAAAGGATGTCCTTTTTCAACCAACGATCCTCTGGAGGTCCTTAATGACTTGTTCCTCCTCCTCAGGGGTCAGCTCATTGTCTTCTTTGATCATGGTGAGAAGTTCATCAACAGATTTCCCACTCATCTTAGCAGCCAAAGTTTCACCGAGCAAATCAACCAATCCTGTAATCTCGAGACAAATTGCAGCCTATACAAACAAGGACAACGACATGTGGGATGCACTTCAATAAGTCACTTTTATATCACAATAACTGATCAAGTTTCTCAAGCTCAAAGATGGTGAACCATATGCATGTACATGATCTAAACTGTCCACCACAATTATCTGAGCATCTCTGAGTACTCATCAAAATATGCTCGAGATACATTTGGTTAAGGTGAAAGACAAGAAAAGAGTCTAATGCCCTGTAAGGGACACTATGCTGCACCTTACTTCTCCTGGGGAGAAAAAGAACCAATAGAACTTCCGGCACCACTTCTTCATAGGCTTTCTTCATTTCCTAGTTTAGGTACCAATATTTATGTTGTTTACCTATGAACAACGATTTATGGAAAAGAAGCTAAAATGCATCCTGAACAATAATTAGGGAAATTTGAGTTGCCATTCTTGAAAGAAAAGCATCAATTTTAGAGAGCAGGTGATACATAAAACTAAAAGTTTTTGATAGACAACATGTTTGAGGGAATAAAGTAAGACATGTAGGTAAGTTTGATAATATACTCCTGGCTACACACTAAGAGACTGTCTGCCTCTTTAGTCTTGCTTGTTCAGTCCCCCACCCTTATGCAGCCCACTTTGTCATGAATGCAAATGCAGATTAGCTCCAAGCAAGCAGAAGTGCATGTTAGGCAACCTGACCCTAATCCCACTAAAGAACAGAAGTTACATTTAGTTTCCCAATTTATAACGCTCGTATTGGTTCCTCCTAATGCCTACATAACTTATGGAAAAAACTTAAAAGTTGTAAAATATAAATTAGGCTAGTTGCACTTTAATAACCTAAAGTTCACTGTTTTTGACTGACACTTGAAGTTTAAATATTCCAAGTGATACCTAAAGTTTTTAAGTTGGAGCTACCCCTGCTAACTTAACTATGACTCGACTGCTGAGGAAAATGTCTGGAGCTCGACTGCAGATAGGAGGCTAATGGTGCCCCTGCAGCCAGCAATGTGCAGGCAATGAATAATAAAATTGAGGTCAGCAAGCGAGCAAAAGATGACACCAATGGAAAGGAATCAAGACCAAGTTGCCATGAGTCAGTTCCCGTGGTTTTAGATGGGAAATTTTGCATTAATGTCTATTTTCTTGTTAATTGTTTGATATTTTATTTGTGAATTGTGACACAGGGTTTTCTTCCTAATTTTCTTCTAATCCCTGAAGTACAAGTCCTAAATTGCATTAGATTATATTTGGGAGAAACGTTTAATTCTTTTGTTGAAATATTGATAGAATTATTAATTTTTTTATTTTTTGAGTTATTACGTGGAATTTGTGGTAATATATGAGTATGAATTATAAAAAGACATTATCTTCACCCAAAAATCAAGAAAAACAACTTAAATCATGATAATAGAAGATCCAAAGTGAATGATAAAGTTTTTCACCAAATTTCAGTACTTTGTGTTTGGACACGTGAAATGTCAAAATAAGATTTATATTTTTAAATGGTACAAAGTTAAATAGATGGATAGGAAGAAAGGTATTAAACCATCATTAAAATGTCTGCAAGTCCTATTCGGCTGTATTAATAAATCATTAATGATAAAACTTGCAGTGAAAATGCACAGCTGGTTATTATAAGTAAGATGTAAATTTTGTCTACTTTTGTACTCAACTCATTCCACACGCTTCATTCAACTTTTCCTATAGAATAGGTGCAATCCTTTGGAGCCCAAGAACACTCTCCCTCCCACTCATTCTCGCTTTGTCCAACTACCCAAGAAACTTACCATTGGTATAATCAATTTTTAGATCATCCTAAGGAGAAGTATGTATATCTCTTTGCAAAGTGAAAAGGGTTAAAATCTAAGATTTATCCTGAAGTGACTTTTAACACCAATCAATTTTAAACATGTAATAGAAAAATGTATTACTTCCCATATATATGCTATAAAGTTTTATATATCAAGATTAATCAGCAATCATATTGTTTCTCCAAAATAGATCATACAGATACTCGATCTGACCTTTACGGACAATGCATCTTCTCATAATTCTATATTTAAAGATGTGAAGTGTTTGCTATTTATAATAAAGATCTAAGGCTCAAATATTATTTTAATTAACAATATAGTTACCGATAATACTATCATATTCGAATTTTCTCCGCAAGGTCCAAGAACCCCCTGATATTTGTCCAAATTTCAACCAATCAATCAAGAGTCCGGATTTGAACATACATTTATTTCTTTGAACATACATATATCAGTAATCAAATTGCTTTTCAGATCACAGCTAACAATTCATATAGGTACTCGATCTGACCTCTGGTGACACTCTACTTTCTCATTATTCCGTATTTCAAGATGTAAAGTGTCTAATATTGATAATGACTAAAGTTGTAAGACTCGAATGTTACTTTAATAGACAATATAACTTTTAGTTCTTCATAATGCTCCTATATTTGAATTTCTTCTTGAGGCCCAAGAATTCTCTGATATTGAGCAGAATTCAACATGCATACATACATATTATTTTTATTTTTATTTTATTTTTTTAAAGTAGAAAGGCCAAAATCTCATACTTAATCCCAATCAATTTTAAACATGTCACTAGGAAAATTCATTAATTTACATATATATACTATAAACTTTTAGTAACCAGGAATAGACAGCAACCAAATTGTTTCCCATAATTCCATATTTAAAGATGTTAAGTGTTTGCTATTGACAATAATTAAAGATGTTAGACTTGAATATTCCTTTAACAAACAATAAACCTTTAGTTCTTGATAATGCTCTCATATTCAAAATTTCTCCTTGAGGTCCAAGAATTCCCTAATATTAGTCCAAATTTTCAACCTATCCAGAATCTGATTTTCAACATACATATATTTCTTTACAACATGAAAAAGTCAAACTCTCATTAAAATGACCACAAATCCTAATCATTTTTTTTCTTGTGGAAAAAAAATGTCCTAGTCAATTTTAAACATGCAACAGGAAAATTCAATACTTCCCACATTATATACATCCTACAAACTTTTATATACCTTCTAATAAATCAGCAATCAAATCGTTTCTCAGATTGTAGAGACACTCGGTGACTCAGATCTACCCTTTAGTAACAATGTACCTTCTAATAAATCTGTCCTAATAACATAAGAGCTAACTACATCCTTAATGAACATATAACTCTCAGTTCTTGATAGTGATCTCAGGATCTTCACCCTTTTACTTAGATGCTCCCTTAAGATCCAAGAATTCCTCGAAAATCTAAAGCAAAACATATGAATATTTTCAAGATCCAGATTCACAAGGAAAAGGAAAGCGAAGGGAACTCACCTGAAACATAAAGAAACGTATATCAAAACTGAAGGTTTCGGCCAGCTCATCATCAAATCCCTTTTTCACCTCTTCACACCAAGCCGCCCAAGGAGAGTGCACGTCGCAGTATACCCTGACTCTTTTCAGGGTTTTTTTCTTGACATCGACAGGAATGGCAACACCGACGAATCCCTCCTCGATCTGACGGCGGAGGACCCCCGACAGCTTGGCCGCCCCCTCCTCCATCTCGACGAGCTTGTTGTCCTTGGTCCTCAGCATCACCGTCTTCTCTGCTGCTGACGCTGTTGGTCGCCGTTGCTGTCGTCTCCGCCATGTTGTTCGATGATGCTTGTCGCCCGCCGATGTTGTCTCGCTGGTTACTTCTCACCGACGTCGTGTGTCCGGTGCTTTCATTCCGGTGATGTCCACGCTGGCTGCTGTCGGTCGTCGTTGCGCTACGTGATGTCGCATGCTGGTGCTTTCGTCGTCGTAAGTCGCGGCGGTGTGTTCATGGCGTGCGTGGCTGCTCGTCCGTTGTCTCCGCCGGTGATGTCCACGCTGGTGCTGTGTCGGTTGTCGTCGCCGCTGGTGCCTGTCCGTCCGGTGTTGTGTCGCCGCTTGGTGCTGTGCGTACCCGGCGTCGTTGCCTCTAATGCCGGGAGGTGGTATCGTTTTCGCCGGAAGGCGGCGGAGATGAGGACGCCATTTGATTTGAAGAGAGAGTGGCAGTGGAGCCCTATCGATGAGAGCCGAGCAAAAGGGCGGGAAATTTTGGGGATTCTTTCTTGGTGAGAGAAAATTGGGGATATTTATAGATTCACGGGCTACGGATGCTTCTAGAATTCTTGATTCTAAAGTGAAGTTTAACTGATTAATGGATGAATTAATGACTAATTAATCCGTTTGATTCTAAAGAGAAGTTTAACTGATTAATAGATGGCTTGATGATTAGTTAATCCGTCAAACAGTTAAGGGGCTGTTTGTTTCCTTTTTTTTTTTGAGAGGGAAAGATGGGGAAAGCTTGTCAAAAGTGCAGCTTTTGGTAGGCTTTTCCCATCTTTCCCTCTTAAAAAAGAGGAAACAAGCAAACCCTAAAGGCCCAGAGATGCAATACTTTATATGGTCGTGCATGAATTGTATATTCATGCATGTCAATGTTAGTTACCAAAAAAGAGGGACTTAGTGTAGATTTCTTAGTGTATTAGGATTCCTCAATCTTCTTTAGATAGTTAGTTCTTGAGTAGATAATTTAGTCCTGCACACAAAAAATACATGAGAGAGTAGGAGTTAGGATCTCTGATAGTTTCTCCGACGATTAAGTCAGTAGTAAGTTGGAGTGGAGAAGAAGTAATGTGATAGTGTGTTTATTAGCAAGAAATTGCTTAACTCAAGCGAAAGATAGTTCCCTTATTTATAGCAGATCCACAGAGTATTGAAGTAACTCTAGCCAAGTCTAAATAGCTAGCTGAGTTGGCAAATACTTTACAAGTGTCAGCTGCAAAGGGCATGAGTCACCTACGCGATTAATGTGAGGGTGACAATGGAAGCATGATGTTGGCGAGGTCCGATGAGTTATAAAAACTTTTGCGGCTGGAACAATGATGATTCTGATCATGCATTCAATATGATGGTGAACGATTGTTGGTGTGGAATGTGAGGACAAACAGCCTTTCATCACGGCTTTTGCGAACGGGCCGAAAAATGATGCATTTTTTATTTGAGCGTCTTCAATTCGAAAGTTCTCAACCCGACCTTGTAGAATAAAGAGGAGTAGGGCCGCCCCTAACATTGAGTTTCGATTAATGACGTCTTTCGACTTAGCCCCTCTTGGAAGGGTCGAGTGCAGACATTGCTCGAGTCATCCTATGTAGGGCAAGGCCCATTTGATGTTTAGTCAGCATGGACATGTATCAATTTCTAGGAGAGGATTAACACTTAGCTATTTCTGTAATATAACAATAGATGTAGGCTTTCTTCTAAGTTTAAATAAACATAAACTCGATTGAAAGAATGGGTGATCGAGCTACATGAGCTTCACATTTTAAATCGTGTTACAATCTAAATAGAGATTTTGTATTTACCGTTTGAATTTGTTATAAGATAGTTACATGAGGTTCAATATTTAAAATCATGTTGCATCTAACTAATAACAATACAATCACACAAACTCTATTAGTTCTTTGCTAGAACAGACGAGCACGATCGGTGTTGGATTTAATCTAATAAATCTAATTGTGGGCACATATGATTAATCAATGTGTATTGCTATCTTTCAGGATAACCCACTAAAGTGATCCATTAATTTAGGTTAATTGGGTATTTAAATAAGCCATGGGGTTATATGTGCAGATACCAGGTTGTAATTATGATTTGTTGAGGGGCCAAATTGTAAATGTACAACATCTATAAATAAGGGGTTATGATCCCTAATCTAGGGTTACATTCTCTAATTCTCTTCACCCCCATCTAGAGAGAATTTGACTATAGAGAAACCCTAAGGTTAGAAGATTCAAAACTCATCTCAAGGTTCATCTATGGATTTAGGTATAAGCTTCCGCTCTTTTGATTCTTGTTAATCTCTTTGAATTAATCATGGCTTTATGGTTTTTTTAGATCTCAAGTTTTGATTAAGAGATCTAACAAGTGGTATCAGAGCCTCCTTGATTTGTTCTAAGAGATTAAGATTAAAATTGGGTTTTTTTATCTTAAAATCTTTGGTTTGGATTCAGTTTTGTTCTCGGATGAACAATAATGTTCCGGATGAACAGTAACAGCTGTTGAAAATTTTTTGGGGTGAACAGTATCTAAAAAATCGCTGGTAAACAGTAACTTTTTAGAATTTTTTGTTTTTTCTTCGATTTTTCCTTGGATCTGGATCACGAAATTTTTTCCAATTTTGGATCTGGTTTTGAAAATAAAAATCGAGGAATTTTTTCTTGGGTTTGGTCGGCGGCGGTTTTAGTTTGGAACCCTAAGGGTTCGTGGCGAAAATTAAGGAGGTGGTTACCTCAAACGAACTTCGCGTTCGTTCTATTTTAACCGAGCTTCGCGCTCAACGAACCTCGCGTTCGTTCTAAGGTGAACCTCGCGTTCAACTCAGGTGAGCGTCAAGGGAGGTGGTTACCTCAAACGAACTTCGCGTTCGTTCTCAGGTGAGCTTCACGCTCAAATTTAACCGAACTTCGCGTTCAGTTCTCAAGTGAGCATTGCGCTCAAATCAAACGAACCTCGTGTTTGTTCTAAGGTGAGCCTTGCGCTCAATTTAAACGAACTTCACATTCGTTCTAATGTGAGCCTCACGCTCAGTTCTAAGGTGAGCCTTGCGCTTAATTCAAGTCGAACCTCGCGTTCGTATTTTAGTCGAACCTCGCGTTCGTATTTCAGTCGAACCTCACGTTTGTTTTCAGTCGAACCTCGCGTTCGTATTTCAGTCAAACCTCGCGTTCGTATTTCAGTCGAACCTCGCGTTCCTTTTCAGTCGAACCTCGTGTTCGTATTTCAGTCGAACCTCGCGTTCCTTTTTTCAAACGAACCTCGCGTTCGTTCTCAAGTTGAACCTTGCGTTCTTTTTCAAACGAACCTCGCGTTCGTTCTCAGACGAACCTCGCGTTCGTACTTAAGTGAGTCTCGTACTCAATACAGTCGAACCTGGCGTTCGAAGTCAAGCGAACTTCATGTTCACTATGGTTAAGCCTTGGCTTTTCATGGGTCCACTTTGGTATACTTAATTTAGTCAATTAAGTTATGGGCCCTAATTAAGCTGTGAGACCCCAATTAAGTTTTTTTTGGAAATTCAGTTGATTTAAATTAAATTTAAATCTAATTTGGTTTTTTAATCAATTATTTAATTCAAATATTATGACACTAAGGTATTAAGGTTGTCTCTCACTCCAATTGATTAATTGAAACAAGAAGTTGCCAAAGTAACCTCTCTTGTGTAGATTGTTCATGAGGAATGTGAGATGTTTGTGTGTATGCTTTCGTGTAAATATTTAATCGGCCCAAAGGAAGGTTAATATTTATTTAGACTGTATACACATCTGCGATGATAAGCGTGTGACAATTATAAGGTTTACATGTGAATAATGAATCGATCCAAAGATAGTTTCATTATTTGACATGAGTTATTGTCAATGTTTGATCATTGCAACAAGGTATCACTTACAAGTTAATATTACTGTCCAAAGACTTGATATTAATGTTGTGCCGGTATCTTGGATGGGGATTTTTGAATTTTATTGATTACTAATTATGGTTATTGATGTGAGCATTTTTGTTTTATTTCAGCTAATACATCTGCTACAACAATTTCTGCTAACATCAACTCAATTCCCATGCTAAATGGGACAAATTTCAAGGTTTGGAAAGAGAACAACTCAATTCCCATGCTAAATGGGACAAATTTCAAGGTTTGGAAAGAGAACATATTAATTATTCTTGGTTGCATGGATCTTGACTATGCTTAAGAACTGAACAACCCCAACCTCTCAATGCGGATAGCACTCCTGATGCAAAGAAAGAGTATGAGAAGTGGGAGCGTTCAAATCGCATGAGTCTTATGATCATTAAGTGCGGCGTTCCAGAAGCCTTCAGGGGTATAGAATCCGAAGGAATTACTAAGGCTAAAGATTTCTTTGCCGAAATTGAGAAGCGTTTTGCGAAAAACGATAAGGTAGAAATAAGCACGCTATTAGCTCACTTGATTTCAATGAAGTATAAGGGCAAATGAAATATCAGGGAGTACATTATGGAAATATCTTATATTGCTTCAAAGCTTAAGGCACTTAAACTCGATATTTGTGATGAGTTATTGGTACATCTGGTTTTGTTATCTCTTCCTGCACAATTCAATCAGTTTAAGGTCAGTTATAACTACCAAAAGGAGAAATGAACTCTAAATGAGCTCATTTCATACTGTGTGCAAGAAGAAGACAGGTTGAAGCAAGATAAGACAGAAAGTGCTCATTTGGCCTATGCCTCTAAGGAAAAGTATAAGAAAAGGAAGAATGATAATGAAGCTACTAAGGGTCCAGTTCAGAAGAAACAACATAAAGATAATCAGGGTTGTTTCTTCTGTAACAAACCTGGACACGTAAAGAAGAATTGTACAAAATATCACGCCTGGCGTGCTAATAAGGGTATGTTCCTTACTTTGGTCTGTTCTGAGGTTAATTTAGCTTCAGTACCTAAAAACACTTGGTGGTTAAACTCTGGTGCTACTACTCACATAAGTGTTTCTATGCAGGGTTGCCTGAGCTACTGAAAGCCAAGTGATGTTGAAAGA